GTTATAAAAACTCTTTTATGACATTCAATACACGGCTGCTCATTACTTGTTATAGATGACATTATGCGATGACTTCAATTTTTGAGATGAAACTAGAGCAATAAATTCCAAATCATATATTTTTTGCAATGTAAATTTAACATATAGATTCCAAATTCAAGAATTGGTCTCATAGGTCAATGTATAGCTATGGCAATGAGTTAAGCCGGCTCGTGAGCGGCATAACAACCTACATTTTGCAAGGTGCGTGTAGGGTGCATTTTTTATCAATGCAAATTTTTAATTTTTATAGAAAAAGGGAACAGACACTATTTGGTCGCAGCTCAACTCGTTAACCAATGAACGCAGCCATCTTGCACGCCGAGCTTAGTTGAGCTTGAAGTTGGCTGAGCCAAGTTGTCTCAACTCGGTCCATGGCTAACTGACTATGAAAATGTTACATACAAGTTGGAGGGTGCACATTCTTGGTTGTACATATATGAGAGCGTCTTTGGTTGAATTTGACTCCCTAACATATATCTGTTTTGTCATGTGATTTGGCAGACACTTACATACATTCCTTGAACTGAAAATTAGTGGGTAGCCTCAAAAGTTGGGAGGAATATAGTAGGTGCATGCATGAATACTTCTAGTGCCTTCTCAAAAGTTTGTGTGTGAATTATAATGCTTAGGATTCTTTTGGCCATGCATTTCCCAATTATTTGAATACACTACACAAAGTGCTTCTCCTCAAGTGCACCTACCGAACATAGTTGTTTCATTTGAATCTTACTGTACATTTCAAATAAATATTATTTTTTTTTCCTTTTCCCCCAATATCTAGAGTGAAATATTGGCGTGTTAACTATTTCTTATGTCGTTATTTTAAAGACAGTTGTGGTCTTCCAAACATACGAAATCCGAGTTAAAAATAAAATCGCGTATATATTGAATATTACAAAAAACAAGCTTTTATCTACAAGGTTGCTTTAAAAACAATTGCTCTTCTTATCAATTATTTGAACCCTTGTGCAGTCACATATTTGAAATAGCTAGTGAGAATTAATTTGTAAACTTTTGAATTGTTTATTATAGTAGCTCGAAATCTACTCTCTAATAATTTAAAGTGTTAATCTAATGTACAAAAAGCTTGAGTTATAGCCATCAAAATACCTTTAATGGTTTTCTTTTATAAAATTAATGCAAATAAAGCACGGATTTCCACCATATATCTCTGTGATTAGAACTTCATTTGTTTGCAATATTACATCTTTTTTTTTTTTTGCCAAAACAAATATATCTAAATGTCAAGTTTATGAAAAAATAAATAAATATTATAATTAACATGAATTGTTATGTGAATAAAATCACGAATTAATAAACTAAAAAAAATTAAAAAATGCATGGTACCATTGGGAAGGATACTATGGTGGTAAGGTGACGTGAAGGCAGGAGGGAACGGGAATGGGAATGGGAATGGGTGGGATCTTGTGAAGGGTGGTGGAGGGACAATGGGGGCAGGAAAGGGAGGTGGAACTTGGAAGGGATGGGACTTGTGTAAATTTTCTGGAGTTGATAAAAGTAGTGGACGGAAATAAATAAATAGAGCAATGACAATCGAGAAAAAATAATGTATACCTTACGAGATGACGACATAATTTAAAATTTAATGATTAAAATTATTGATAGATTATCCAAATAAAGTCGACCTTATGTATTCTAATTTTATTTATTAGTAAATTGATATTACAATATCATTATCGAAAAACAATATCGTGGTAAAGTTGGCAACAATGGAACAAATTGTTATCTCCATTATCTTAAATAATTAATTTTCTTGTCGGTCACAACGTGTTGATAAAATAAAGATCACTTTCCTCGATCATTTAAAAAAGTCCTAATTAATTAATTATATATATATATATATGAAGTAACTATCAACCGTCTACAATTAATGTGGGACAATAAATTATATAATTGGGAACATAATTACTGTTCTCCCCAAACTCACGTGGGGCATATATTATACACTAATTATTATTATTTTTGAATTATATTCAACTTTATGATTCCACCACAAATAATCTGTTCATCTTTGACACACACTGTAAAAGAAGAGTGATGAAATTGAAATCATTCACACATTGAGTAAAGACACTTCTTATAAATGTGTATCTAATTTACTAATGACATGTGCTATGTTTTACCACATGATTGTAAGAGTCAGTGACTTCTTTGTCATTTACCCAGGCGTAAAATGTATGTCGGACTTATTTTTAATATACTGGATTAGACAATACATCTTACAAATATACATTTTTCATAGTCCATTAATTACATTTTTCTTTAAGGGTGCATTTGATTGCGAGTATGGAATTTGCATAAAAAGAAAATAAATTTTGGGCAATTGAATTGCCCAGAACTTATTTGTATAAAAAATATTAATTAAATGCGTTTGATTGATTTGATTTTCAATCTAGAAAATCTACATTTTCCCATTTTGTATTGGTAGGTAAATGAGAGAGAGGGGTAGATGAGAGAGAAAAAGAGAGAGTGAATTATATGAAAAATAAAAACTGCCCCTCTTTAAAGAAAATATTTCCTTCTTTTCAACAATAATATGGTCGCGTGTGACCAAAAATACGAAAATATTTTTCGTGGAAAAAAATATCAATTAAACAGCACAAAAGTAGGAAATTAAATGAAAAACACATTTTTCATAGAAAATATTTGCAATCAAACGCGCACCCACCCTAAGTTCTTTTTAACATGTTGATATAGCATTATCTTAATTCTACATTGCACGTTGCTTAAATCTAGTGTGTGTATATATATATATATGAAGTAACTATCAACCGTCTACAATTAATGTGGGACAATAAATTATATAATTGGGAACAAAATTACTGTTCTCCCCAAACTCACGTGGGGCATATATTATACACTAATTATTATTATTTTTGAATTATATTCAACTTTATGATTCCACCACAAATAATCTGTTCATCTTTCGCACACACTGTAAAAGAAGAGTGATGAAATTGAAATCATTCACACATTGAGTAAAGACACTTCTTATAAATGTGTATCTAATTTACTAATGACATGTGCTATGTTTTACCACATGATTGTAAGAGTTAGTGACTTCTTTGTTATTTACCCAGATGTAAAATGTATGTCGGACATATTTTTAATATACTGGATTAGACAATACATCTTACAAATATACATTTTTCATAGTCCATTAATTACATTTTTCTTTAAGGGTGCGTTTGATTGCGAGTATGAAATTTGCATGAAAAGAAAATAAATTTTGAGCAATTGAATTGCCCAGAACTTATTTGTCTAAAAAAATATTAATTAAATGCGTTTGATTGATTTAATTTTCAATCTAGAAAATCTACATTTTCCCATTTTGTATTGGTAGGTAAATGAGAGAGAGGGGTAGATGGGAGAGAAAAAGAGAGAGTGAATTATATGAAAGAAAAAAACTGCTCCTCTTTAAAGAAAATATTTCCTTCTTTTCAACAATAATATGGTTACGTGTGACCAAAAATACGAAAATATTTTTCGTGGAAAAAAATATCAATTAAACAGCACAAAAGTAGGAAATTAAGTAAAAAACACATTTTTCATAGAAAATATTTGCAATCAAACGCGCACCCACCCTAAGTTCTTTTTAACACGTTGATATAGCATTATCTTAATTCTTCATTTNGTTGATATAGCATTATCTTAATTCTTCATTTTCTTTTGTTAATTTTATTGAAAATGGTTGTATCTGTTTGCTAAGTTTAATATTTGTTGTAATATAATGGATTATGTGGTAAAATTAAGTCTGATATTGAATATATAAACTTGAATAGTGTGAAAACTAAATTAAAAATATCAATTGGATTCATCGAATATTAGTAAATCTGACCATTATTGTTGTGAAAACTCATTTTATAGAAGTTTGTTACAATATAACGAATGCTTAATATGGTAAGGATTGCTTGTCTGTATAAAGATTAATGATATTTAACATCATAGGTGTCAAGCATTATTTATATATGAATTGTTAAAATTATAGTGAATGAAAACAGAATCTACCATCTAGATGAATACATCTTAATAATAAACTCAGAATTAATGATATTTATTATTAGGGATAGAAGTCATAATATAGATCATAGTGTCTCTTAATTTATTGTTCAATATAGATAATAAATTAGGGTCTCACGACTATTTAAACTAGTGATGAGTACTAGTCAACAAGCTAAGAACGACTAATGATAAGCATTAGTACTAGCCACGAATAGCATTAATCAAATTTATCATCTCTTAATGTGGTTAGTTGGTAAGAACACTCCTAATTATGACAACGTTGACTAATATGAAATTGCTAGTAGTAAGTATTTCTTTCCATTTTACATTTTTTCCCCCAAGTAACTCGTCGGCAGGAGTGTTTTCTTGAGGTGATTTTGGTAAGTGGTTAGAACACTCATTATTATGACAATATTGACTAACCATATGAAATCACTTATAATATTTTTTTGCCCCTCCAAATGTCTTGTCGGCAGAGTGTTTCACTGACGTACTTAAAAGTCATTAATGCAAACCTAATTGTTCTCAAATTTAACGTGTATTTTTTCATTTATAGTTGCTCTCTCGTCATAATTTAACGAGGTGAATAAGAAACTCATAGAACTGACGTTTTCGACATTATTATCTAATTATAATTTTAATAAAGATCCGTAATTGACCCTCAATCTATAAGAAAATTTTGGACAAGACATTGGACAAGAATCAGTAGCGGGTCCATTATTCATTCCCTGTTGCTGCACCAATATAGATACTGGTGTTAAATCAAGATAGACAGCCGTGTCTCAGAATCTTACAATTTGGTCCGGCGCCAAACTTTTTTTCTATACATACGTATTTCTCATCAAAGCCCACAGTATTTAAGGGTTCGGAGGCAATGCTATATTTCCCCGAAATTATCAAGGAAAAATAATTGCTCTACGGCTGAAAATTCCCAAATGAATTCCTCCAAGGGTGCCTGGAAATCTGCCATTTTCATCATCTGTAACTACCCTCCTTTTTCCTTTTCAAATTATTAATTTTTCTTATTAAATTTCTACGAATTTGTTTTGATTTTTACTTGCAGTTGTAGAGGTGGCTGAGCGATTTGCCTACTATGGGGTGTCGGGGAACCTGTTCTCGTACTTGATTAAGGAGGTTGGCCAGCCTACCGCCACCGCCGCCAAGAATGTCAACATCTGGCAAGGTGTCTCCGCCGTGTTTCCGGTGGTGGGTGGCTTCCTTGCTGATTCTTATACAGGAAGATTCTGGACCATCCTCTTATCCTCCATCATATATCTCACTGTATGTTCATCACTTTTCCTTTAATTTTTCACCATAAATAAAATTTTCCGGCGGTGGTGATCAAGGGCTGTGTTGTTTACAGGGTTTGGTTTTGCTAACCATAGCAGTGTCGATAAAATCCATAGCCCATGGCCATGTTTTTTTCTTTATAGCACTTTATATTATTGCAATTGGAGAAGGTGGGCACAAGCCATGTGTGCAGACTTTTGCTGCTGATCAATTTGATGAAAATCTACCTGAAGAAAAGGCTGCAAAAAGTTCATTTTTCAATTGGTGGTATGTGGGAATTGTGTGTGGTGCTACTGCTGCTGTTTTGGTGGTAATTTACGTGCAGGATTATGTTGGGTGGAATTTTGGTTTCGGAATGCTGGCGGTGGCCCTGGCAGCCGCACTCGTGGTGTTCTTGATTGGAAGCAGGACTTATCGCTGCCAAGCTCCAGTAGGGAGTCCATTTACTAGGGTGGCACAAGTTGTTGTTGCGGCCATGAGAAAGCGGAAACTATCAGAGAGGGAGGGCCGCGGCATTTGCCAAGAAGAGGATAGCAGCAGTATCTGCTTGGAGGGCGGGGTGAGAATTTGTACTCTGGTCCGCACTAGTAAGTTTAGGTACGATGTTTCTCTTTAAGCCAATGAACATGTTTGACACGTTAGATTAAATAATACTTTAAATTGTCTTGTTCAATTCAATTAAACATTTTATATATTGTTTACAATCAATGATATTGAGTTGTTAGATCGTCTTCGTATGATATAATTGATAAATGCATATTAGGAGATAATCCATGACCAATGGTCACTACATGTTCAAAGAGAATGACGAATGATAACGTTGAATTTTATTGCATAATTTGGTAATTAGACTTTGGTCATTTAATTTAGTTCTCAATCTAAGTCAAAATTATCAATTAATCATAACCACATATTTTATAGGTTTCACAACTTTTCAACCACATATTTCGTCAAATTTTATTAGAAAATTGATTTTAATCCCCACCATACAAGGACTTAATATAATTATACAGTGCATATCACTTGATATATTTCTATACGTAGTTCAAGAAATTGCAAGTCAAAATGAAAAGTTTGCCACTAGTGGAATGGACAAATCCATTAGGAGTTACTTTTTCAACAACCCTTTTGGTGAAAAATAAAACAAAATTGCTTAATTTTTATTTTTCAAACAAAACAGAAAATAGAACTATCTTTGTAGTCGCTAAGTCAATCTAAGAGGGGTATCAACTATCAAATGAATGGATGTTGACAAATCCATGAGGGGGTGTAAAAGGAATGGATGTGGACAAATCATGCATAAATAAAATCCACATCTTAGTTGACTTTCAAGCTCTTTTGTATATGATGAAAAGATCTGTACATATTGGTGTATATATATATAGTCCTTATTTGATCTATTATTTTTAAAATATATTTTTTTCTATTATTTTCAACCACGCGTTTTTCAATAAAATAATATTACAAGTAAATTCAAAATTTTTCCTTATTTTTTAATCAAACGTTTTCCATTAATCAACTATTTCAAAATCATTCTTAGCCAATAATGGGGTCAAATAGAATAATAGTTAGGTGCGCTTGGAACAATGGCCTAACCAAGTTTGACCAGACATGTATTTATTCGATATTGTATGGACATGTACCGATATGACGTGACTCGTCTAGCATCTCTAATTAAACCACTTGGCTTAATCCATCAAACACTTAATTAGTGGGTGACGTGCACTAGATCAGGTTGTATATAGAAGTTAGATTGAGACTGATCTAGCATCCTAGTTTGATTAGACAGTTTATTATAGTGGGCACATCCCCAACCTGTTTGACAAAATGCTTGAACGAGACAGTGTCAAAGTGTAAGAGCGTATACATGTAAAATGTTGCTCTGAATATATCATAGAATCTACATCACATGTTTCTGTTTTGAAGTAATTTAACAGGATTACATTCTGCAGATTTTTTGACAAGGCCATGATTATAGATGAAATAGATGCATCTAGTGAGAAAAGAAACCAGTGGAGACTTTGCTCTGTAAACCAAGTCGAGGAAGTAAAGCTTCTCCTCCAGCTGATTCCCATTTGGTTTAGTTGTTTGATGTTTGCTGTTGTGATTGCGCAACTTGGCACTTATTTTACCAAACAAGGTAGCACTATGAACAGATCTATTGGACGAAACTTCCATATACCAGCAGCATCCTTTCAAGTGTTCACTGGTTTCACAATTCTTACCGCGGTTCTGCTATATGAGAAACTCTTTGTTCCAATAGCTAGACGAATAACCGGGCACTCTTCTGGGATAACGATTCTACAAAGAATCGGGTTTGGACTATTCTTATCCATAATTACCATGGTCGTGGCAGCTTCCGTAGAGGCCAGAAGGGTCGGGATTGCAAGAAAAAACGGGCTTATCGACTCTCCAAAATCAGTAGTTCCAATGAGAGTTTGGTGGTTAGTTCCACAATACATGTTGGCAGGGCTCTCCGATGTTTTTACAGTGGTTGGATTGCAGGAGCTATTCTACGATCAAATGCCTGTTGCAATGAGAAGCATCGGTGCAGCTGCATACATCAGTGTTGTGGGCGTTGGGAGCTTTTTAAGCAGTGTTCTGATATCTGTTGTGCAAGAAATTAGTTCAAAAAGTGGGCACAAGTGGCTTGGTAACAACATTAATCAAGCAAATCTTCCCTACTTTTACTTGGTTTTAGCAGCTTTGAGTGCTGTTAATTTGTGCGTTTACATCTTTATTTCGAAAAGATTTGCGTACAAGAAAATCGAATCTCAAGGTCATTCTATTGTAAAAGAATGAGATTAGAAAGTTTGTGTTGATGGATATGTATGAAAATAAAAGAATAAGATGTATGTTCAGTTAGATTTCAAGGATGTTGTGGAACTATATGTTTTTGAATTTGTTTGGGTATTATTATGGGTGCATGTTAAACTAGAGAAAAAAATAAAAATAAAAAAATCGTAAATCCCATCCTCCAGTTCGTCGAAAAGAAGCTTAAAACGTATAGTCGTTGACACACTAAAAGTGCAGTCCAAATTAAATAGTCCAAGGAGTGAGGCCCAATTGAGAAGTCCAAGATAAATGCCTAAATAAGATTATTGGTGAATATAGAGGAAGCTCACGAACACAGTAACATTATCGCCCAAGCTTGCAGACGTTTAGAATCTGAGCGAATGGAATGTCTTACGGTCGCCCAGAGTGATAACCTCGTTCTCGCCCAAACCTTTGAGTTGCCCAAAATTTTAACACATGAGATATTATGGTTATCCAGAATAACAGTTAATGAGCAGACTTATCACATTCCACGATTCAAGGAACCCATTCGAAGGCGGTTGAACGACAAATAGTAATGACAGCAGTTAGAGATGGCAGTTCCACGACAATTTAGCCACCATGAAGAAAGTGAGTAGTTATAAAACAATCAAACAGTTTCTAAGTGGTTTGTCACGAAAAAATCATCACGGGAATATAAAAAAGAAGAGAAAACATAGAGAAAATGACTCCAAATCAAACACTCTTAAACAGATAATATGTAATTTCAATTTCTTAAATTTCAAGGATGTTGTGGAACTATAATGTTTTTGAATTTGTTTGGGTATTATTATGGGTGCATGTTAAACTAGAGAAAAAAATAAAAATAAAAAAATCGTAAATCCCATCTCCAGTTCGTCGAAAAGAAGCTTAAAACGTATAGTCGTTGACACACTAAAAGTGCAATCCAAATTAAATAGTCCAAGGAGTGAGGCCCAATTGAGAAGTCCAAGATAAATGCCCAAATAAGATTATTGGTGAATATAGAGGAAGCTCACGAACACAGTAACATTATCGCCCAAACTTGCAGACGTTCAGAATCTGAGCGAATGGAATGTCTTACGGTTGCCCAGAGTGATAACCTCGTTCTCGCCCAAACCTTTGAGTCGCCCAAAATTTTAACACATGAGATATTATGGTTATCCAGAATAACAGTTAATGAGCAGACTTATCACATTCCACGATTCAAGGAACCCATTCAAAGGCGGTTGAACGACAAATAGTAATGACAGCAATTAGAGATGGCAATTCCACGACAATTTAGCCACCTGAAGAAAGTGAGTAGTTATAAAACAATCAAACAGTTTCTAAGTGGTTTGTCACAAAAAAATCATCACGGGAATATAAAAAAGAAGAGAAAACATAGAGAAAATGACTCCAAATCAAACACTCTCAAACAGATAATATGTAATTTACTATTTTTAGATTTATTTTAATTATTTCAATTCTCTCGTACTTGTATGTTTGAGACACTTGGAGGCATCTAGTTCGCGTCCAAATTATCCCTTTTCAGTACTCGTGTGTTTGCGCCCCTTGGAGCCATTCTGTTTATTTCCAATTGTAACTCTCATCAATAAAGCACCCATTTTTAAGACTTTGTCTCAAGAAGTTCGTCTCTTACACAACCGTCTGAATTCTTTTTTAATTGTTGCGACTACTCGCGCGAAACAATAACAATCTTCAAAATATGGATATGTTCTCTTGTATAGATTACAATCAACTTATTAAAAAGTCTTCAAATTATGGGGGGAGTGGAGTGTTATCTGAAATGACATATGGGTTAGGTTAGGTGGGGTGGGGTAGGGTGGGGTGACTTTTGTATTTTTAATTTTGATTTGTTATTTGGAATTCATTTGTAATTTTTTTAAAAAATTTGGTCCATGATTGCAATTAATTCTTTATTATTTTTTTAAAATTTAAATGGGAGGATATATTTGTCATTTTAAAAAATTGGGACCATGACTTTTGTATATCCACTATATCTAAAAGACAGAAGACAGATTTCACTGTTCCTAACCTGTTCATGGGGAAGGCACATATCACTGTTCACAAGCCGAGCCGCCGTGTAGCCGTTGAAGTCGAGTGAACGGATGACAAAAACGCTTGGCTTTCCTATTTTCTCTGTCCTCCTAACCCCAATTGCTCTCCCTCTCTTCTCTTGACAATCAACGATTCTCTGCTTTCG